ACATGAAAAGATAGCCTCTTTCTTAAAGAGAAGGAAAAAAAGATGCATCTACTACTGTGTAGCACGGATGCCTTTAAATTGTGGTACTGGTGAAGAATGCTGAATATCCATGGACTAAAAGAACAAAACCCAATTACGTCTTGGAGAAAGTGCAACTTAGAGGCAAGAATGGTAGAACTTTGTCTCACATACTTTGAGAGGGTTGTCAGGGAGGGCCAGTCCTTGAAAAATGACATCAAAGGTCAGCAAAAGAGAGGGAGACCCTCACCAAGATGGATTGACACAGTGACTGTAGCGATGGTCTCAATTATATCAGGGTTGATGGGGACGGCACAGGAATTATTGTTCATAGGGCCACCATGAGTCCTGGTTGACTCAATGGTACCTAACAACAACCCAAAAGAACAAATAAATCTGTCTTGTAGTGTAGTCTGGAGTGCTCCGTAGATGTGAATACCATGAGACAAAAGGTTGGGCTTATTATCAGGAGGGGCCAGTCCTTGGAAAAAAGACCACGTTTGGAAATGTACACGGTCTAGAAGAAGAGGAAGATCTTCAACAAGTTGGTTTAACAAAGGAGCAGTAGCAATTTTCTTCTTAAGAGCCCAGCAGACACCAGATACTCCAGTGGAGAAGGAGGGCACTCCTCCTGTGCCAGTGGGATAGGAGGAGGAGGAGGAGAGGGGGAGGAAGAGGAGGAGGAAGAGGAGGAGGAGGAGGAGCATAGCAGAGAGCACACAGCATCAGGCAAGGTCTTGTGTTTGCTTTGCTTTGTCTATACTACATAGAGTCACTATGCACTACGTATAGTGAATTACGAAAAGGCTGGTGACGCAAAGTCACGTACTATTCCACAGGAGAGAGATGTCCTAATCAGCTTCTAGGAAGAGTTATGACCTTGGTAATCCTACAGGGCAGTTTCATAGAGTAGCTCAGAGTTGGAATAGACCTGATGAGAAGTTTTCATTTCAATTTGATGTAAGAATCAGCCCATGTAGTAAAAGCCTATAAAATTCAGTCTATTCAAAGAACACTGGGAGACCTGATAAGTAGGTTATGTGCTGGGCAGTGAAAAGGAAATTCAGATTAGCTAATCCTCAGGAGAAAAAAATAGGACAGTCACTCCTATTAAGATTTACAGTCTCACACATCCAAGGAAGGGTCACCACAAGTCACAATCAATAGAGAACAGTGAGTTTTGGCTTGTTTTGGTGGGTTATTTCTCCCTTACTTGGTTTTATGGGACCTTTAGTGAGAAAATGTGACTGCATGTATCACAGCACACTCACTATTGTGTTAAATTAGCATCAAGTGGGCAGAGCTGGTTCAATTCTTTATTTCCAGGCTAAAGTGAAATCTTCTATTTTTAGACCCGCTGCTCTTGGCTGATTGGATGCAAAGAGAGAATGTGAAACACATTGTTAACCAACCTCTGTGACCTCACTTGCACTTTCAACTTCTTACTCAAAGTATCACCATTACTTGATTGCATGAGGGTCAGAAAAAGTGAATAAACAACAAAAATGCATTTTATCCTTTTTTGGGGGGGGGGTTGTTGTTTTGGGGTGGGTTTTTTGTTATTGTTTATTTGTTTGTTTTTCTTGCTATGTACCATTGAATCGGATCCAATTGGCACAGGAGGAGATTGCCCCTCTTTCTCCAGCAGAGCATCTGGTGGATTCAAACTGCATACCTTCGGGATTGCAGTGCAGCTTCTTGCTACTAGGCCACCAGAGCTCCCAAATGCCTCTTATCTTAGTAACAACACAAACTGTGCAATAAAACAGTGCTCTGGTAGAAAACATTTAAAAACTAATGAACGTCAAATCGATATTTAATAGGAATAGAAATTATTTGGATAAGCTCACAAGTTGGGGGGATGGTGTCAACACCATTTTTGTTTCATCACACTATCTCTGATTCTACCAAATGCTTTCCCACCAAGCACACCATCTCCACAGAGGAAAATGTTGTTAAATAGGCATTCAATGGGCATGAAAAGGAAACTTTATACATGAGGTAGAGAGTTGTGTGTAACACCCTCTTTCACAAATGCATTCATTTTAAAACTTTTTTTTTTGGTTCTAGAGAGAGATCAAAAGATTTCCAGAAGTTGACGTTGAAGCCCTGAATTTTTAAACTGGAAAAAGTCAGAACTCAGAGACAGAAAACTAGAGAGCTTGAATCAGAATGGACTCACTGACTGATTTGACTGTATTCATGCATACAGGACAGCATGTTGCTAAAATGTAGTCAAGAGGTAAATATGTACTGGGCAAGGAGTTTTAAAGAATTCTAATTATACATGCAACATATGAATGCATTCTTTCAAAAGTTATTTAATTTTATAAGTGATATATGAGTGGGTTTTTTTTAAAAAAGCTATTTTTTTAATTTATTTCTTTTTCATTTCAATTAACATCTACAGAGATTTTGGAATTCCATTCATTCATTGTTGTACCCTTCTCCCTGCCCCCCCCCCCCCAGTTCGCTCTTCTCCTTGAAAAGCAAAAGAAAATCTCCTTCATTGGTATGCAATCCCTATCCCCCCGTACCCCCCACCCCAATACGAGTATACTCCACTCTGCAACCCTCATTCCGTACTCTTACGATATACATAATGCCCTAAAATATAATACTTTTAAAATATTCTCTCCCCCAAAGACTTCAATGCCGTAAACATATTTCATCCAGTTTTTCTCAGTCTTACCCCCATCCCGATGTCAGCCTCATTCTACAACAGTGGGACCATATAGCATTTGTCCCTTTGTGACTGAGGATATTCTAAGACATCTCCTGAAATAACCAGAGATTTCGCTTAGAAGTGTATTCTTACAAATCTTAAAAAGGGGGGGAAAATGCACACAGGCACACTTACTTGTAAAAATGTATTATGTATGTGTATTCTTTTATATGGTATCAATAAGCCATGTATTTTGAGACCTATTCATGATACTTTGATCCATCACCAAATAATAGTTTGAAATTGACAGGTGGCAATTACAGTCTCTCAAAAATCTTCCATAATGCTACTATCAAATAAGGATATTAGCTAGATAGTTTAAGGGTCTGAACCAGAAGGTATAACTTTAAATATTTACTGGGGCGATGAAGATAATATAAATGCTTGAATCACGTTAATGACAATGGATACAGAAGCTTTCAGTATTAGGCATTCAACAGGGTGTTGACCGTGGCACACTGCAGTGAGTTGTCCTAGCTGAAGAGGGTAGCTGTTCCTAGTTTCAGCCAGTTACTTCTATGGGAAAATGCCAGCTACCAGTCATAGCTTCCAATTGTTAGAATAAAGCATGGGGGGTGGGGGTGGAAATGTTGTTGTTGTTGTTGTTGTTATGTGCCGTCGAGTCGCTTGTGACTCATAGCTGCTGATATTTTTATTTTATTTAATTATGTGTGTGTGTGTGTGTGTGTGTGTGTGTGTACTGTCAAATCAGATCTGACTGGTACAAGAGAAGATTGCCCCTCCTTTTCCAGCAGAGCATCTGGTGGATTCAAACCATGTACCTTTGGAATTGCAGTGCAACTTCTTACCACTAGGCCACCAGAGCTCCTTGCTCCTGATATTTTTAAGGGGAAAAACTCTTGACTTTTAAGTGTTAACCACTGAAGAATCTGAATTAAAAAAATACATTGTTCAGGCTTATACACAGAGATAATTATGAACCATGACATTTTCAATGCTGGTTTAACTCCAGCAGAAATCTAATGACACAACTGATGTATCAATAAGGAATTCTTTGAGAAAGTAATACATGGAACACAGACAATTCTTTTGAAAGCATTTATCCTTTTTATACGTCAAGATATTCCAGGCAATCTGAGCTATACTCTTTTTCCTATTTACTTTTTGAAATACATTTTTTAAAGGGATAACACAAGACTACCCATGAATAAGGATGGCAGAAGAACTGATGCCTTTGAGCTGAGGAGTTCGAGAAGAGTACTGAATATCCCATGGACTGCCAAAGAACAAACAGATATGTCTTGGAGAAGGTGCAGCCAGAGCGCTCCTTAGAGGCAAAGATGATAAAGGTTTTTCTCACATACTTTGGGCATGTTGCTAGGAGAGGCTACTTCTTGGACAAAGACATAATGCTCAGAAAGGTGGAGGGCCATCAAAAGAGAAGACCTTTGACCTGGTGGATTGACACAGTGACTGGTGCAGTGGGCTCTAGTGTGTCAGGAAGTATGAGGATGGCGCAGGACAGGTCAGGGTTGAGATCTGCGGTTCACAGGGTTGCTATGGGCTATAATTGATTCGAAGGTACCTAACAACAATGACCCATGAAAAACTACCCTTTTCTTCTTATCATCTAGGTATTTTCCACTTTATCAGAATGTCAAATTGCCTCATCTTGGAGATGTACTGGCTTCTGCACTCTCTGCCATCAAGTGAGGCAAGAGGCCCAGATCTACTCAGAGAGCAGGGCTTTATAGGCTGAGGGAAGAAAAGTTCTTTGCAGGTCACCCTGTGACTAACATCTGAGAGAGGCCCACCCTGATATTATCAGGAAGAGAAAACAGGGACCAAGATCTGCCCAAGACGAGACACTGTAGTCAAAAGGATTCAAGGTGAACGTGCAGATTTTTGGCATTAGAGGAAGATGAATTTGCCTCTGTCCTTTATGTTCTCCTCTGCTAGGAGAAGGGGTGTTATTACTAACAACAAAGCTTTTGTTTATGATGTGGTGTATTGAACCGTAAAAACCTTACCAATAGGCAAAAAACTGAACACAGAGGCTGTGTATACAAAACCAATCTTTTCTCTGTGAAAGTGGATTTTGTTTTGTGCCTGAAGGAGTTGAGGAGAAGAAATGAGAGAGATTAGTAATTTTAGGAAGAACTTTCAAGATAAATATAAATGATATAGGCTTTGTATTAATCATTGACAAGTGTCCACTGAAAATGATCATTATTATTAAATTCAAAATACATTGGCTCAGACACATGCATAAGTTTATAAAGAGAAAAATACCTACCTTAAAAATGAAATCTGCCATCAGAGGGCCTGCAATCTTAAAGGTTTGTCTTTCTGATCCTTTCTGAAATTCAACTGTTGTATTTTCTATAACAAAAACTCCAGGACTGTTAAAGCTGTGCTCTCCTTTGCTTCCTTGAAGAGTTTTTGATTCAATAACTAAAAGAAAAAACACAAAACAATCAACTAAGATAAATCTCTAAAAGCATTTTATTTCTAAGGACATTTTACAAATACAATGTCAGCCTATGATGTCAAAATATCCACACTGTTTAGTCAAAACACATATTCGAATTGATGGAATAGAATTGCAAGCTTCCAAGTTGCCCAGGAAAAAAGTTAAAAAATATTTGATCTTTTTTTTTTACTTATATAAAACCAGACAAAAATATCTCCAATTTGTTTTCCTCAGAACTTTTGAATATGGAAATAATTAGCAGTTCATAAGCAGTTGCAAAAATAGTGCAAAGAATTCACCTCATCAGCTTTCCTGCAATGGTTATAACTTGAGTAACTATAGTATAATATAAACCCCAGGAATCTGTTGCTAGTACATGTGTGTGGTTGTATGCCATTTCATCACAAACCATTACAATCAAGCCACCCTCCACACTAAAGTCCCCCTCACACATCTCCTTTATTCAGATCTATGTATAAAAGAACAGAAGTGATTTTAGATCTGCAATAGAAAAATGTTTACCAATAGTAAACAGCTTTTCATGCAGGAGAAAATGGTTCAATTCCTAGCCCATTGATCTCTTGTATAGCCACCACCCACTTTCCCAGTGGAGTCTTCCCAGTGGATGCTTTGATGCTGGACAGGTTTTAGTAGAGCTTCTGGATGAAAAGACTAGAAGAAGGGTTAGATGTCTACCTCCACAATTCAGCAGTGAAGACTTGATAGATCTGTAGCAATTAAGGGGACAGTTTCAATCTATGTGCAGAAGAGATCTTTTGGGAGGCTGGGCTCTATGAGGAGGAATGTAGCATGAGGATTGGAGTAAAACTCATCAACAATCTGCATTATGCAGATGACACAACCCTGCTTACTGAAACTGAGGAGGACCTGAAGTGCTTGTTGCAGAGGGTCAAGGACTGTAGCCTTCAATGTGGATTGAAGCTCAACATCAAGAAGACAAAAATTCCCACCATTGGGGCAATTGGCAGCACCATAATGGATGGAGAAGAGATTGAGGTTGCTTGGCTCCTCAGTCAACTCTTTTGGCACCAGCAGTCAGAAAATCAAAGATGAATTTCATTAGATAAATCTGCTGTCAGGGACCTCTCCAGAGCACTGAGAAGCAACAGTGTCAGTCTAGAGTACATGGTCTTCACAATTACTTGCTATGCAACAGAGAGCTGGACAATGACTAAGGAGGATAGAAGAAGAATTGATGCCTTTGAGTAGTGGTGCTGGACCACCAAGAAAACAATTAAGTCTGTCTTGGAGAGTGTGAAACCAAGTTTCTTCTTGGAGGTTAGGATTGTGAAGCTCTGTCTCATGTACTTTGGACCCATGGCCAGGAGGGACCAATCCTTGAAGGATATCATGCTCAGAAGTGTAGAAGGACAGCACAGGAGAGGAAAACCCCAATGGCACGGATTGACACAGTGACTAGGGCAATAGGGGTTGGTGTGTCGGAGTCAGTGAGACTGGTTTAGGACAGGTCTGGCTTCAAAGCTGTTGTACAAAGGGTTGCTATGAGTCACAGGCAACTTGATGGCACGTAACAGCAAGAAGAACAATTGTATCGTGTATGGGGTCACCATGAGTGAAGAGTAGACTTAATGCAACTAACAACAACGTGTGTCAGAGAGCTGGACAGTGACTAGGGATGATAAAAAGAAAAAACGGATGCCTTTGAGCTATGGTGCTGGAGAAGAGTGTTAAATCTATGGACTGCTAGGAGAACAAACAGGTTCGTCCTGAAGAGGGTAAAACCAGGCTGCTCCTTGGAGGCAAGGATTCTGAAGCTTTGTCTGACATACTCTGGACATGTGGTAAGGAGGAACTGGTCCTTGGAGAGGGGTGTCATGTGTGGGAAGGTGGAGGGACAACACAAGAGAGGAAGACCATCGATGAGATGGATCAATTCAGTGACTGGGGTAATGGGAGTAGGTGTTTTCAGAGACAATGAAGTTGGCACAGGGTAGACCAGGGTTTAGGGCTCTTGTACCTAGGGTCACTATGAGTCACAAGCAGCTCGATGGCACATAACAACAACAACAATAACAACAGCAACAACAGCTGATGGCACATAACAACAACAGCTGATGGCACATAACAACAACAACAACAGCGTCTAACCCAAATAGTGCTTCTACCTTATTTGCAGAGCTCTGGCGTCCTAGTGGTAAGGAATGGCACTACCAACCTAAAGACATTTGCATTGGATTCACCAGACACTCAGCAGGCAGAGGACGGGCAATCTCCTCCTGTACAATCCCACTGGATGAGGGGCCAATATGAGTTGGTACACAACCATCTCATTTGAGTGGTTTATTTCTTCTTTCATTTTTTTTTCTTTTATTTTAGAGATCTATTTAGCCTGGACTGAAGGCAAGAGAGTAGTGAACTGCAAGTTGGAGCAACTCTTCTCTCGTTCACTCGCTGCTAAGGGTTTCCATTGTCTTCTAAACTCTTCCATGTTCTCTTTACCCTGAACCTTACACTTGAATCAGAAGTACTGCTCACTCTTTAGTGCTCTTGAGCCAAGAACACAACAGCACAATAAACCTATTCAGATGAAAACAGAAACATGGAAACTGATAGAATGCAATGGGATAGTTGGCACTAGGCCCAAGCATGGTAAGCCACTGGTTGGTTGATTTAATTTGCTGGCATTTCTCTGTGTCTCTGGAGCAGCTGCAGGAATTCAAGCATGCAGGACAGACAGTGTAAGAGGCATTTGGAGACATCCTTGATTATCCTTGACAGGCAGCCTGGGAACCTTTCTGGGAAAATTCAAAGGCTGGACATGAGCTACTTGATCTGGAGGAGTCATCAGTGGTCAAAGAATAATTCTGACGACTTTGAGGCACACAAAACCCCAACCACTTTGGCCCTGGACTCTATGACCGCAATAAGATTTTTGGAAAGTGTGAGATCAAGTTCATTTCCTAGTTCCAATGAAGATATAAAACTGAGTGTTATGAAACAAGTTGTCAGTAAAAATGAGATGGTAAGCTGGAGATAGGAAGAGGGCTCCAAGCTTGGGTGCAAGAGGCCTTTAAATTAAAGCAGGAAAAGCAATGAATGTGAAGGCAACATTTGAAAAAAATTCATCAGCATAAAAGGTACGAAAGACATGCCATTTCTCAGTTAGGGTTTAGCTTAAAATGGCTTGATTGAATGCAAATACAATGCGGTGAATTCCACTGTCCTGGGGTGATTGCTTTACCACTGCACTAACCTTTGGATCTTTTCTTGCCAAGTGAGCTGGGGTAGTGGGTGTAAAAATATGGAAAGGCAATCTGGCAGGAGGAGGGAAGCCCAGTTGCTGTGAAATCTGTCCCCTAAACCGAAGACCAGCATTTCTGTTTGGGGTTTGGCGCTTACTTCAAATGTGGGGGTCTACTCTCTTCTTTCAACAGTGTCCAAAAATCTTCAGTGACAAGGATATGGAAATATAAGTAGCAAAAAGTAGTTTTCAAGTGCACATAGAATACCCAAACCACTCTTTTCTACTGGACCATATGCTTATTGTAAAATATCTTCTTTTTTTAAAAAATATTTTAAAAGGATTCCCATTCTCTAGGCCATAAAACGCACACTGTAAAGAGTGGAGGTCGAAAATAAGCACTCTGACTCCCATTGTGTAAAAGAACAAATAGCACAAGCTGGCAAAATAAAGGCAGGCTAAGCGATTTGATTGACGTGGAATAGATGCATGCAAAATATTTTGATAATCTGGGAAACAAACCACCAGGCCACAGCAAGGCAGAAGTCGATGTAGCTCTTCAGAAACTGTCATCTTCATTGGCAACAAACCTGCTGCTCCTCAGAGCCTGTGCCTTTCCACATACATGTCAGAAAAGGAGTTGGTGGTTTTCCAATCAACAATTCAGATGATGTGTCAGCCTGTGAATCGCCTTGAGTTACATTTTTAAGAATTCATTTCTAACTTTTCCGTGTATTTACGGCAGCCCTCGGGTTCTGACAATGGGTGACTGGAGGCTCATAAGAGCTGCACATAGATCCCTTTGGTTCTCAGAGTCTTGTGTACTATCCTAAAGAGATCTAAAATTCTCAGAAGATCATGATTTCTTAGAGATAACTTAGTTATAAATATGTCAAAATTATGCTTTGAGCAGAGTTCAAAATATGTCAAAATTATGCTTTGAGCAGAGTTCAAAATATGTCAAAATTATGCTTTGAGCAGAGTTCTATTTTTATATTGCTGGAGTGGCATCCACTTTCTAAACAACATGTTTCTGGAAACTCTATGAACTTTGAGGAACAACAATAGTTATAGAAAAGCTTCAGGAATTTTTTTCATAGGGTTGCTATGAGTCGTGCTCAACTCAATGACAATCAACAAAAACAACAACAACAACAACAACAACTATATAGTTATTCAGAATATGCTTCCTTTGAATGGTCTTCACGTATGGTGGCTCTGTGTGCGCGTGCGTGCGTGTGTGTGTGTGCGTGTGTGTGTGTGTATATATTCATCAAAAAGAATGGACTTATGTGACAGGTGGGGGGGGGTGCGTGCGCATGTGCACACACACATGCAACTCTTCCAGCTGGTAATGGAGATTTTTCAGCACATAGCCTCTTGAATTTTTCTTAGTCTATTGCTAGTCAAACATTTAATGCTGAAATTACACTACAATAAAATCTCTTTCACAAAGATTCTTAAGTATACCCTTTGGAAGAGGTACCCGGCAGGGAAATTAGGAACCTTGTGTTCACCACAAATCAAGAGCCAGACTTTGGAATGGGACTAACAATCTAGCGTCAATACTCATAGGTTGTAAGTACCATTCCATGGTCAGATTCCACTCCACAGCAAAAAGACTTCTATAAGGTAATGCTCCCGCCTCCTGGTAACACTGCCTTTGGGAGAGCTGGTATTTAATGCAGATCTTAAAAGATTAATTTGTTACGGTAAAACAAGCTTGTTTGCTGTTAACTTCGGCTATTTATCTTTGTTAAAAATGAGAATTTTTTTAAAAAAACACAAATACATAGATCAAGAATACAAAACTGTTTCTATATTTAGATATTCAGAAATATTCAAGAAATTCTTTGTAAATGAAGCCAGTTCCATTCATCAACAAGGAGGTTAACTTGCAGAAACATTTCCAGGGCCAAAGTGAGGCTGGTCAGAAAGGAAAATTTTCCAAGCAAGAAGTCTGTACTTTAGAGAATGGGAACATTTTGAAGCCCTGGACCTGGAACAGTACCAGTCATAAGTATAAAGTTATGCTTAGAATGCATGTAAATGAGTGTTCTGCTTAAAAAAACTCACTTTTGAAAGGTTGTTTACTGACTCTGCTTTGAGAATTTACAAACACATTTTTAGAGCTCAATCTTTGGCAGATCCCTTTAGCATCATGACAAAATCCTGCTCCGGTATCTCATACTATCTGCTTTCTTCGCTTATTTTAAACCTCTTTAAACCCCTGGCCTCAATTCTAATTTATAATGACCCTACTGGACAGAACTACCCTATGCGGTTGCTGGTGTTGTTAAGTGCCTTCGAGTTGGAACCGACCCATTCCTGACCCTCCAGGGGGTTTTCAAAGGCAGTTATTCACATCCTTCTCCCACAGGGCACCTGATGGATTCAAGCACCTGTGTGCTTTCGGGATTTGCAGCTCAGCTTCATACCACTAGGCCCCCAGAGCTCCCTACAGGGCTTTGGGTTTATCTAAGCAAGCGTCATCTTTCTCCCACAAAGTTACTGGTGGGCTCCAACTGCTGGACTTTAAGTTAGCATCACAAAGCTCAACCCACTGGGCCACTGCTGTTGCTAGGCGCCATCAAGTCTCCAATTCATAGCAACCCTATCAATGACAGACTTGAAACTGGCCCAGTCCTGAACCGTCCTCATGAACTCTACCATGCAGGAGCCCATTATTACAGACACTTTCCTCTCCTTCTCTGACCCTATACTTTTCCAAACACGGTTTCTTTTCTAAGAATTGGCACCTCCTGCCAACATGCTAAAGTATGTGACACAAAGTTTCAGCATTCCTGCCTTTAAGAAGTACACTGACTGCACATCCTGTGAAACAAATTTGTTCTTTTGTCAGGCCGTGGTATATTCAACACTCTATGTGAACACCACAATCCAAAGGTACTGATTCTTCTTTGGTCTTCATTATTCATTGTCCAGCTTTTTAGGTGGTTAGGAAGCAACTGAAAAGACCATGGCTTGAGACCTACACCTTACTCTTTAAACTGACATCCTTGCTTTTTAGCATTTTGGAGATGTCCTTGACAGAAGAATTTCCCAGTGCATCACATATTTCAATTTCCTGACTGTTGCTACCATAGGTGTTGACTGTAGAGTCAATAAATGAATTACTGACAACTGTAAGCTTTTTTCCATCTATCAGAATGTTGCCTATTGTGGGCTGTAGTTTATCTTCTTCAGTAAATGCTTTATGCTTTCTTTGGTTTCTGCAAGGAAGGCTGAGTTGTTGAGGAATCTTCCTCCAATCCTAATGCCACATTCTTCTTCACATAGACCAGTTTCCCTGATTCACATCTTTCTTGACTTTAAACCACGCAATATCTCCTTGTTTCATTCAAACAACTGTTGAGACAGACCTTAAAGATCATTTAAACAAGAAGTTAAAAAATATTTTCATATTTCATTAGAAAGCCTTAAATGATGTGACTTTTATATATCTGTAAACATTTATAGTATGTTTTGTAAAAACAATGTGAGTTTTAGTCATAATTTATATAAAATAAAGGGTGAAAAAGTCTTTCCAATGAACTACTTACACTCATTGGTACAGAGATGTTCTATTGCATTGCTAATTTAGATCATAATGTAGCTGTGCTTCAATCCTGAAAGCCGCTCTGTGGGAGGATAGGCAGTCTCCTCCCAAGCAATTTACAGCCTCTGAAAACCTCCTGGAGGTTCAGCTCTGGGGCAGGTCCGACTCGATGGTATACAACAACAACATAAATATATTTAAGAATCACTGCTACTATATTTTGAGATTAACTTTTCTTAAATGACATTTCTTATGGAAATATTAGTTTGGAATGCAAAATATACAAACACATTCTGCCTCGTGGTGATTTTGTCACGCACTTGTATACACATATACAGACACACGTGCAAGCAAAGGTACACACAAAAAGAAATACTTCCTATTGTCCTGTGCCATCAGGGAAAAACTGGCTCATAGCAGACCTTCCAGCGGGTTTTTGGAGGCAGGAAATTGCCGAGTAGCTGGTAAATTCAAATTGTGTGCCTTTGGAATTATAGCCCATTTTCTTAACACTAGGCCACCAGAGCTACCTATACATACTTAAAAGTTTCAGGAACTAGATTGAAAACCTAACCTTTCTGTAAACTTTAAAATCACAATAGAATTTTTTTATTAAACAAAAAACAAACACTAAACTAAAAAACCTTTAAAAATATAAGCTGCTTCTGGTCCTCAGATACATTTTTTTTTTTTTA